TGCTAAAACAGAATATGTTAGACCAGGGAGATTGTGAACAACCAAAACTTCTTTCTCACAGTTCTGGAGGCTAGGAAGTCCAAGATCAAGATACTGGCAGATCCAGTAAGAGCCAGTTTCTGATTATTCATAGACTGTCATCTTCTCACGGCAGAAGGAATAGTGGTCCCTCTTGCAGCTCTTTTATAAGGGTCCTCATTCCACTTCTGGCGTACCCAAATCACTTCCTAAAGGTTCCACCTCCCAGCACCATCCACTGGTGACCAGATTGCAACATGTAAATTTTTAAGGGTACAAAAACATTCAGACCACAGCAATCAGTATACGGCAAAAACAGCAAAGATTCAAGCTGAACCAAAATCAAGCAACTCTTCTGTTTCAGAATTAAGAATAGTAAGGATATTTGTGAAGTTCTTGGGAGTTTACAATGTACCTCACCTAAGTTACTATGTTTTTTATAAACCATATTCTTTACTCTTCTTTTATACATAAGAAAACTGAGCCCCAGAGGGGAGAAAAAATTGACTTCCTGAAGATCACAATGAAGAAGTAGGAGAAATGGGACAGGAAGCTGGGTCTTCTGGTTCCCAGGGTCCAGGCTTCTGAGTCTTTTACCTCGTATAGTGCTCTAAAAGTTGGAAGAAATGGAGGTCTTAGGACATTTAAGGAACAAAAGCACACAAAATACCCCCTCATCAAACATAGGTTGGTCTTCAAGTGGCTGTAACCTCTGAGAATAGTAAAATGAATTGCATGTTGCATTCATTCAGTAAACACTCATTATGGCTTTCTCCTTGCAGGACACTGTGTGAAAATACAAAGATATACAAGGTTCATTTCCTTGCCATTAGAGCGTAAAGCAAATGCTTGGCTCCAAGGCAGGATACAACTGTATGAATAAGGAACCTACACTCAGAGCTCCAGGAATGTTGAGCGAGAAGAAACTGACATTGGCTGAGAAAAACTGTGAAGGATCGAAATGATTTTAGTGGCAGAAAAGGGCTGGTTCCCATCCTGTGTACACTGTGAAATGTGGTTTTGCCACTCCTTTTATGAACTGAACTGTATCTTGGTTACTTTCTTTGTTGCTGGGACATACTACCTGACAGCCACAATTTAAAGAAAGAAAGGTTCATTTTGGCTCCACTTCTAGAAGCCTCAGTCCATAGCTGGCTGGATTCAAGGCAGGGCAGCGTGGCCAGGGGGCCTGGCAGAGGATAAGCAGCTCATGGCATGGCAGACATGAAACAGAGAGAGATCAAGGGCGGGAGATGGACTCTTCCAAGTCAGGCCCCAGTGTCCTACCTCCGTAGACCAGGCTTCACTCCCAACATCACATTTAGCTGTAAAATTACCAGTGGACTGATTCACTGATGAGTATCACACCCCGTGATCCAATCACCTCCCCAAAGCCCCATCTGTGAGTGGCATGAGGCTTTCAGGAACAAATAGATATAAACTGGAATAGTCTCCCATCCCTAAATTTATATGTTGAAGCCCTGATACCCTAATATAGCTGTATTTGAAGACAGGGCCTTTACAGAGATAACTGAGGTCCACGAGGTCTAAAGGTGAGGCTCTAATCAAACTGCATTGCTGCCCTTCCAAGAGGAGAAACAGACAACAGAGATGATACTCACGATTTCTCCTCTGCCCTCTCCTCCCCTGATGTCCCCTCCTCATCCCTCCCTATCCCTCTCTCAAAAAGGCAAGGCCACGTGAGAACATGAGAAAGTGGCCATTTGAAAGCCAGGAAAAGAAACATCAAGAGAAGTCGTCCCTGCTGGAACCTTGATCTTGGATTCCCCGCCTCCAGATTGTAAAATACAAATGTCTGTTCTTTAAGACCCTCAGTTGCTAGTGTCTTGCTATGGCAGCCCAAGCTATGTAATACATCCTCAGCAAGAGGTAAGGTCTTCTACTCCTGAGTCCCAGATAGCCCCACAACTTGCTTTCAAATAGTGACAGAAGAAATGATACTGTACCAATTCCAAAACAAGTCCTTAAGAGAACTTACAGCTCTGGCTTTCACCACCCTGAAACCTGGAGCCAGCATGTAAAGTCTGGGTACCACTTAAAAAAACAAAAACACCGCCAGGGATTTAGCTCTGTGGTGTAGGCACCTTGCTGGCAAGCACAAGGTCGTGAGTTCGATCCTCTGTACCAAAAACAAAGCAAAAACAACAATAACAAACATGTAGAAGAGAAGGATTTGAGTATGAAGTATCACAAGGTGGAGAAGGCCTATAAAGATGAAAAAACTGGCACAAAGACAGAGGTCCAGCCACCCCCAAGTGTCGACGTGTGAGCAAGGCCATCGTGATGTTAGATAGCTCCAGGTGCATCAGACATGAATGCTGCCCTGAACCCTATCCTGCCAACCCATGGAATTGTGGACAAATAAAACAGTTGATATTTACACTATTAAGATTTGGGCTGATACCACACTCAGTAACTGATACAGGTGGAGAGAAAAAGAGGTGTTCAAGGCAGAGAGAACAGTTTGAACAATGGTACAGTGATAGAAAAGATACTGTGGATATTGTGATTAATTCAGATTGGTAAAGCCTTATGCACATACCAGAGATAATGGGAAGATGATGCCTGAAAGGAAGTTTGATGTTAGGTTTGGACAGCTTTCATTACAGTGGTTTTTACTGTATACTTCTTTGCCATGGATTGATTACTTAATCCTCACATAACCCTAGAAGTTGGCTATTTCATAGTTATCTTTTGTTTTCTAGAGAAGGAAACTGAGGCTCAGAAATTAAATGACTTTAAAAATACTTACATAGTGATGAGACTGGGATTTGAACACAGGTAGTTAACTCCAGAACCTGTGTTATGACCTCTTTAGAAGATGGCCTTGGCTGAGGAATTGTGACTAGGGGAACAAACATGGAGTTATTCAAGGCCAGAGAATTGCATGGCTGAAGCAGAACTTAGGCTGAGCTGACAGTCGCAGGTAGAATCTGGATGGGAGAAGAGGGAAGTGCTACTTCAGTGTGACATAGGTGACAGCATAGGTGACAAGGGTCTGAGCTCAGTGGAAAAAGTAGAGACAAGACGAATAAGAAGGACTGCTTAAGAATATGGTAACAGCTCCCAGGGACTGACTGGATACGGAATGAAAAGAGGTAAGTCACACTGGTAGAGAAATACAATATGTATATAAGTGGTAAAATTCTGGTTGGTGAAATCTTTAAGCACATAGCAGAGAAAACAACAATAGAGTGCTACAAAAAGTAAACCAGGCTAAAACTAGGAAGTGTTTTCATTCCAGTGATTTTTATTGAGCACTTACTATGTGTCAGACACTCCACTAAAGCCTTTTCATGGATTAACTACCTAATTGTCACTATTTAATTTCACACATGAGTAGTGAGAATCCATTTCTTCCTTTCTGGTGACTGAGAGAGCAGTCACTCTTGTAAAATACTTAGAAAGCACAGAAGGAAGAACTGGTTTGGAAGGTGAAGATAATCAATTTGGTTTTAGACTTACAAGGTGGAAGGTGGTGGTGTGATGCTAAGTGAAGCTATCTTCCAGGTATTCGATGGGATAAATGGAACAGTGGTCAAGGCCATCCATGGATACAGTTTTAGAATTCAACCAAAGTTAAGCAAAGTCACATGCATCTTGTGTGTGTCACTTAGGAGTCTGTGATTGTGAGCAACAGAAACTGAATGTGGCTAAGTAGAAGAGGCTCACAGAAACTCAGTTCACCGTGGATCTGTGCTCAGAAACGCAGGGCCAAGAGCAACGCTGAAATCCAGATGGGAAGAACTCATCATCTCAACGATCTGGGATGAGCTAGCTGTGATCACTCTTTTCTGGTCCTTCAGGATTCAAAGCACTGGGAAGGAATCCAGTTAGCTTGGTCCCATGCCCACCCCTTAGCTAGAGGGGTTGGGGTTATTCTGATTCTCCTTCCGACAAGATGATGTACTAAACAGGAAAAGTGGGCCCACTAGAAAAAGACAGGGAGGGTAGACGTTGGCTGGCACAAATACATTCATGTTCATTCCACTGGAAGAGAGTGGAGAAGAGAGGCGAGAGCTGAAGGCAATCGACTGCACAGCTCTTGGAGAGGAGGAAGATGCAATGAAGAAAAGAAAAAGGCAAGTGAAGGGTCTAGGCAGAGGAGTCTTAAAAACGGACAAGTCACAATAATTTAACGCTGCCAAAAGACCAACAGCAATAAAGCATGAGGACCATTATTTGGGTTGTCAACGGAAGTTACTGGTAACTCCTGAGATAAAAGACAGGATGGAGGAAGAAGGGCAGGGCAAGAAGAAATGATGGGGTGAGAAGAGAGAGAAAAGGGACTCAGCATCCTTATTGTGGCAAAAGAAAGATGGTGGTTGGGCTGCTGTTTGAAGGGGTCAGAACCACAGCGATTCTCGGAGCCGGTCATTCTAGCCTCCTTGGTCAAACATAAGCATCACTTAGTAATACATTGTCTCTGAGGCTGTTGGTGAAAAGCAGACAATAGGGAAAGAGTAAATTGATGCTCTGGGTTAATCAGTTTCAGAAGTTACAGAAAGAGGAAATTGGATTTATTTAAAAGCCAACTTGAAAGGGAAATAAAAAGTCAAATGTCTTTTATAAGCTAAAATAATGATCACAATGACAAAACCATCGTGCAACAGTCCCAGAAAGTAATTGTATAAGTGAACTGTTATAACCAGTCTCCTTTCCCTTGGTTGAAACAGTCTCACGAAATAGCATGTAAAATGTTGTGTAATAAGTTGTCTTGAGCAATTTCTTTTATAATATAGGTTAGATAGGAAACACCTGCTATCGCTAGCTTATTATCATAAAATCCATCAGTTTTACAGACAAAACATCCATGCCCCATTGGGAGCTAAGGACAGTTTTCACTTAAATACAAGGTCACACTGTTTGGGTGCACGGGGAGTGGTGGAGGTGGGGTGGGGGGATTTACATTTATTCCAAGGCACTCAACACTGGACTCCTTCCAAGAGGGGAAACAAGACTAAATAGATCATTTGTTTTATTCCATTTGGCCATTTCTTGCATTTCTCCCAACTGTGGCTTACGGACACAAAGCCAAACTCAGAGTCTGGCTACAGCTGGCTAAACTCCAGGTCACTGTTTTTTGGGATCTTTTTTAAGGAATAAACATTGTAAAGCTATATCTGCAGATTAAGGCAAGCCACAGGACTGAAGGACAAAATGAAATTCCACTGTGAAAGTGAGGTCAGAAACAACGAGCTAGTAGCAGTGTTAAGTGATTTCGGTTTCTCAAACAAAACCCAAGTTGGGAAATGTCAGCTGGAAGCAGATCACATTCAAAGAGTGTCAAACCCTGGAAGAGAAGGTGCTGCTCCCACCAACTGAAGTAGGAGCATGTCTTCTTCAGCACAGCCCTCTAATGACGGGGGTCTAAGTGCCCAGTGTCTTGAAGGTCATAGAAGGTATACCCTGGCTTATTTCTCCGTCTTCTGTTGGCATCAGGAAGCCAGCTGACACCAGCCATGCACGCTCAGTAACGAGAGTAGTTGGTATTCCCAGCAGATCTCACCAGGAGACTGGCGCTTTGTCTTCAATCTTTTCCTTTGGGAGATGCTCATACGCAGTCCCATCCAATGTCCAAGGTGAGAGAAAGCATCCGTAGGGGCCGGGCTTACTTAAGCACACTCATTAACACTGCACCCATATTTCAGAACTGACAGGTCATGTACAATATCTTTCAAAATGTTCCTTGGACAGTACTGGGGGGAATAAGGAAGTGACAGTCATGAAAATGTAAACAAAAGAGGTAGGTCCTAGAGCTTTCCAAAATGGCTATTGATGAGTCTGACCCCTATTTATACTCTAATTGGAACAATAATGTTATTTTTTTCCCTAAAAAACACTGGGTTCATTACAAGAGACTGAAATTTCTTAAAATAATATCTGTGCATTTCTCTCAAAAGCTGTTTTAACTTCAGAGTAATTTCACTAACGTGGTAGATTGCAAAGAAAATGTTTGGGATATGAATCAATATATCAACACTAATATCCAAATGTGATACTGGGCAAGTTTCTGCAAAATGTCACCATTAAGGAAGACAGCAAACTGGTCAAGAGATCTCTGTATAGTATTTCCTACAACTGCACCATCAGCTTGCTTCAAAATTCCAACTTCGAAACAAGACTGAGACAGAACTAGGTGCAGACAATCTGGCAAACTCTCCTACGCTGGCTTCACTGATCTCTCCCAAGGCGAGTTTGTCTCTCCAACTGTTTCTTAAGCTGTGCCCTCCCATCTGGAAGAGGCTACTACTAGCTTCTCCAACATGCGAAGAGAGCTCAGTCTGACCTTGGGGCTTCCGAAATCTCCTTCTTCCCTTTCCCCACCTCATCTGTATTTTCCACAGCCCCAGCTCACCCCTTCTGATGGACCAAGTCACAGCTCTGGCATCATCCCATCTGACCGCCACATCTGACATTTGTTCATCCCTTGTCAGTAACGTGGGCAACTGCTATATGTGTAGCCTGGCTCTGGGCACGGTGAGTGGGAACCGTGTTGAACTGGCTGGCTGCTCTTCCCGGCTGTCTGGGAACAGAGTTTAATGAAGGAGCAGGAAGCAAATGAGGAAAAAAAAAAAAAAAATATATATATATATATATATATATATATATATGTTTTACAAAATCAGATCGTGATGAGAAAGCAAGACAGTAACCTTAGCTCAACTGGTCAAGAAGGCTTTCCTGAAGAGATAGGCTGACTTGTGGCCCAAAGCAGGAGCCCATTTTGGGAGAAAAGCTTTCTAGCCAGAGAAAACAGCAAGGAAAAATGATTCGTACAGTGCCCAGAAGCTGAATATGAACATCAGGCATGACTGAAATTTTTCTTGGGGGTGGGGGGAATTATGTTTCTTTATTGAGGGACCAAACCCCTCAAGGTTTGTTTCCTTAAGGGGGGCTGTGAATACCCTCAGGCTGGTGGGGATAGTACATTTTAAAAAGCAACCCCTCTGCCAAATAGGCAAGCATCCACTATCTAGAATGTCACCCACTGCCAGAGGTGACCGCAGACTAGACTTCCCAGTTGCTTTGATCATTAGAAGCCACCTTAATCCAGGGCCGTGTCTATGGACAAGTACCACATTTCTTCCTCACATCTGGGCCTCTAGGCTTGTTATGGGGCGTTTTGCGTTAAAGCCGACATAAATTGTCTCATATTAAAGTTGGGTCCCCTCACACCTAACTTGGGACAAAGGGGGAACTAAAGACAGAGCCCAGAGTGGGACAGTCATCTGTTGTCACCCTGGGTCTACAAGGGTCTCTTGCGCAGGCCGTGCAGCCCCTGTAGGTGGAAAAGGGCTTGATTCCCAGGACTCTGTGTGTCCCCATCCTGTCACCCTCAAGGAAGGAACCCAGTGTTCTGCACTAGTCTGCCATTTGCTTAAGGCGACCCCATCCCCTGCCCCCGCTGCTGCTCAGTCCTCAGGCAGAGTAGGTAGAGTTCAGGGTCCCTGGCAAAACGCCTCCTCCTGGCACCACAACCCTCATCGCCTGAACGCTCTCTTTCCGGGGCGCCCCGTCTCTTCCAGGAGGCAGCCCAGACCCCCGCCACTCCCCACCCAGCTCGCGGGCGACCCACGTGCAGCTCGGCCCCCGCCGGCGCCGCACCTCGGGGTGGCCCGGAGCGCCCCGCGCTTTGCAGGCGCGGCCCCACGACGGGGACCCCAGGGGGCGGGCTCGCGGCCGGCGGCGCGGCGCGGCGCGGCGGGCACACAAAGGCGGCGGCGGCGGGAAGGCGGGGCGGGGCGCGGGCGCAGGAAGCGGCGGGGGCGGCGCGCGGCAACGATAAAGCCCTCGCTCGGCCCCGGCTGGCGCTGCTGGCTGCACGGGTCGCGCGTCGTCTGCAGGCGCCGCGGCCGCCTCTGCTCCTCGGCCGCCGCCGTCCTCCCGTCGCTGCCGGGGCCGCAGAGACCAGCCCGGCCGCGCCGCGCTCCGCGGAGCCACCTGGGGACCCGAGCGAGCGAGCGAGCGCGGTGAGTGCGGGCGGCGCGGTCCGGGGCGCGCGGGGCTCCGGCTTGCACCCGGCCGGGGCTGCGGGGCGAGCGGGCCGGCGCCGACGGCCAGGGGAGGAACTTTCCCCGCGCCGCAGGCTGCAGCAGCCGGGGCCAGCCCGCTCCACGTCCGGAGCGGGGAGGCCCTGGGGGACCCCGGCCGGACCAGGCGCGGCCGCGCGGCATTGGAAGCCCCCGCTCGGCCGGAGACTGCGAACCTGGAGATCCGCGCTCGCGGGCGTCCCCTACCCCGGCTCAGCCTGTGCGCGCCGGGAGCCGAGCGGCAGAGCGACTCTGGACTTGTTACCTCTGCCTGGGCGGGGTGGAAGGAACCAAACCGGGGGCTGGGGAAGAGCTTTACGTTTTCCTCTTCAGCCGGCTTGCCCACCTCGAGCTGGTCTGTGCTAGTTTCATCGGTGGCTGTGGTTAGTGACTACAGGTAAGGAGAAAGTACTCCGAAATTCTGGGAGAAATTAGGTACAGTGTTTGATTTGCTCACCACAAGCTGAGCGGGGAGAGAAAGCGTCTATTACATAAGCCAGCACTCCACCTTCAGGTGCTACAGAAGATGCTGGGGGAGATTTTAGTGTTTTAATGACCGAACATAGTCTTTGGTGTGTGTCTCTGGAGAAATCTCAAATGCGGCTGTATCTTGCTGGAACTACTTTGGAGAGAGCGTTCTTACATTTAGCATCAACATAATAAGGTGTGTGAAGGTCTCTCTTCCTCTTTCAAGCCAGGAAGCAGTTTACTTCTGTGTTCTGGGAACAATTTTTCTGATAATTTTGTCCTTTGGAGATCCGTTAGGGGAAGTTGACCATGGATAGCTGGAAGAAATGTCAGCATTTGCAAATTTGTACATCTCAAGCACACTTAAAAATTGGAAGTACTTTCAATGCTATCTCCGAATCTAAAGCAGTCAGTCTAAGGTGTTTGCAAAAAGTAAGCAAAAAAGAAATATCTTCAGCCATTCAACTGTAGGTGCTAACCTTTAAAGGAAGGTTTTTTCAATCCCCAAGTTTTGAATCTTTATTAAAATAATGTTTGAAAATAGTGTATAGTGCAGGGCAGTTACTGAAGGTCATGAAGATATCATCCATCTTTTATTCTTAAAAAAAAAGAACCTAAGCAGAAAATCTCTACCTCTTGGGAACATCACATATTACTGCAATTTTAGAGAAAGGGCAAACATTCTTTGGTCTCCAAAAGACATTAATTTTTAGTTAATGGTTGTTATGAGGTTGTTAAAACACTAGTTAGAGAGGTGATAATCTAGCTGGGTCCTGAGCCACACCCCCAGGATAGTGACACCTTCCACCCTGTCCTTGTCACACAGTATGGGGATATTGTTTCAAAGAGGAAGAAGAAAGTCTTTTATCCCAAGTCCACGCGGGTGATGCTTCAGTGTCTCATGCTCTTGACTATCTCAAATCCAATGGCCTCCACCCTCTCCTTGCTCAGGCCTCTAACCACATGTGGGTCCTGTCCTCATCCGAAGATGCCCATTTGCTGAGGTCAGAAACTCCAGTGTCTTAGGGTCTCCAGACTATAGGCTCCTTCCTTTGAATGGTGGACTGAAGCTCCCATGTCACCTCCTTCAGGGGAGAGATTTTCAGTGTCTTCCTTCCGAAAGGCTCAGCAGGTAGCCTGCTGGCCCACTCTGCTGAGCACATGGAGGTCACTAGACTTGCTGCATGTTCTGCCCTATCTCTTCCCTACAACCTTTTCCGTATTTTCCCTGTCATCCAGTAGATCCTGGCTTCTGATTCTGTGTATTTTGCCAGGCCACTGTATATAGTAAATATAGCATGTTCTTGTTGTCTTGGAGTGGGTATTCTTGTGGGAGAAGAGAGAAAGCAAGCATAAATACTGTCTAAAACATGATTTTATAAAATGAATAGGGTAGAATGATGGAAGAAAAATAAAGTTGGACTGCAAACTTGAAGAACATGAGAAAGGAGTCCTTCTCAAGGCAGTGGCTTATGTCTTCAGTGTCTTGCATCTCAATACCCCTTTTTGCTCAGGAATTGTACTTCTGTCTTGAGTCTCTCTATCTGGGAGTTTCTCTTTTTAGTGGTATTTTAAAATGCCCTGGACTGGTTCCTGTGTCCTTATTTTGACCCTTATTGACACCATGTCTCTGCAGGCTTCTGCCCAAACTCCCGTTTCTTCTTAGCCCCTGCAGGCTGGCTAGAGTCTCCGCAAAGTAAAAGACCCCACAATTTTCTGAACAGGCAGCTTCCTGTGTACTCAGAGAGCTCTCTGTGGCATTGGTGAGGCGCTTTTATGCCTGTCTGATGCTTTTCTCCCCTCTGTGCCATCTAGTTTTCTTTCTGTTCTCTGGCATCTCTGTTACCTGCAGGGCTCCCTCCACCCGTTTTCTGTTCTCTGTAGAGTCTTCGGCTCTCACCAGGCTAAAGTGAGTCCCAGCTTGCATCCAGCAAAACATTCTCCTGCGTTCCAGCGAGTTATCTGCACTCCGGTAGACTTATCCAAACAAAAAAACCCAAAATTGGTTTTCATTTTTACCATCACATAACCACTTCATCATTAGCCAAAAATGTCCCTGTTTTTTTTTTTTTTCTTTGCTCATTCATGGTTTTTGTTTGTTTGTTGATGGTGCCCCCACCATTCCCTGAAGTGTTCAAGCAAGAACCACACAGTGGTGCTGGACTTGTGTATCCCCGCAAGTCACAAAGTCCTGTTGCTTCTCTGTGCTATGAGAGCCTATTAATCTCTGCTCTGATCTCCCCAGCCCTGCCTTGCTTCAGTGTGGAAGTGGCAAAATAGTGCCACTTCCAGCTGGCATATGTGTCATTGGCCTGAACAAAGTATGCAAAAATTGAGTTAGTGTTTAGATGTCGGGAAGTATCTCTTGAATTTATAGCTTGTCTTAAAAGTCAGAAGACCTGGAAGATGAGGCTCACATTCCCAGGTGGTAACACCCGTGAGAGTGCTGCTGCTGTGTTTCTAGTGCTGTCTGAGCTGGAGGTTGGTTGCTTTCTGGTTCCCAGCGGACCATCTAAAATACCTTTCCAGCTCCCATTGGTTCCAAGCCAGTGACCCTAGGCTGAGACAGCCACTGACAGCTGAGAATCCCAGGGGCTTACTGCAGTTTCCTGCCCTGAGTTTTGTATCCTTTCTCCATTTCTGCTGGCGTAACTTTCCTCCAGCCCTCTGGAAGCTAAATCTGCTCTGTCCCTTCTGATAAAAATTCAGTGTGAAGAATAAACCCCAAGGAGCTGTGTCATGTCACAGTAGGTATCTCAGGTTGCAAAAGTGAGGTCTCTTGTCTTTAAACAGTGTCTTATATGAGTTTCTGAGAATGCTTTAGAACTTACAGTACGGCCTCTGCAGACCTTGTTTATTCCTAATTCCCACTACCAGGAGATGGAACTGGGTGAATCCCCTATCCCAGACAACAGTGGGGAGACTAAATGTGGAGACACCAGTTGCACCAGAGCCCTTCAGCCATTGGAACATCATGAGCCCAGAGTTATCCAGTGTGCTGCTGAGATCACTTAGTTGCCTTTGAACTAACTGTCTCAGTTCAGAACTCGAGTTCTTAACACCATGAAGCTGGGGACCTTTCCACAGGGCCCCAGCGACTCGCCAGGCTGCTGGGCATTTGTGATGACCTGACAGAGTCTCAGCTTTGTTCACCCCTTCCCCCCTCCCCACCTTGTTCCCTTCCTCAAATGATTTTCATCACACTGGGCTTCCTGTAGACTCTTGTGTGTCCGTGTACTCCTGTTGTGTTTTTTATTCCACCTACGGTCAGTTGCCTGCTTTTCCAGACTCAGGTCTCACATCACCTGTTCCAAAGTGTGCTTCCTGGCAGTCACTAACCCCACCTGTCTCTGGCTGCCTGTGCCGTGCACATCCACGGACCCCCTGCCCCGCGCATAGCTCTGTGGTAGCAGCTGCTGTGTTGTCACGCGTGCTTTACCTGCTAGCCTCCAAGCCCCGTGAAGCTGTACCTGTGCATAAGTGTTGTTTGCACCAAGCAAAGGCAGTTCACAGATGTCTGAACCACACCAGCCATCCTTACATTTTTTCATATGTCTACCGTGTGCCTTATAGAACAAATGCTTATTTTTTAGGCTTAAAGGGGACTTCTTCCCCCTAAACTGCCACTTCTGAATTTATTATTTGTGTTCATGCCTTTTAACTTTCCGATCAGCCATCTTTTGAAACAGAACATTACTGAGAAACCAGCAGTATAGGAGTGCTTTCTGTGCCTGTGTCCTCTTAGATTATCCTCATCTGAACCCTCTTTGGCTTGGTTCTGTCTTTCTCGAGGTCTGCTGGCTGGGCTTTTCATGGTTTGTACAAGGTAGAAAAACCCATTTTGTTTTATTTCCATTAACCTTCATGCAAAATAGTGATTGATGACCACTGAGTGACCACTTTTGGCCTTGGAAGTCTTGGGGCTGGTAAGCTTGGTAAGAAAAGCTCTGTGGTGGGAGAGGGTTTGGACTATGCCCCCAACTTTCTATGTGGACTATCTGGAACTCTTTTCTTTACTGTGTAGTGGGTATCATTGAGAAGAACAATCTCAAGTGAATACCTTATTAAAGGTAGCTTATAACTTTTTTTAAAAATCTGTAACATTTTTGCGTTTTCTTTCTGCTTCAGCTTTCTCATAAATACAATATCAAGTCTAGATGAATTTTTTTCAAACGTATTATTTTGTGCTGAGGTACCATGAAGTTCTCTCTCTCTCTCTCTCTCTCTCTCTCTCTCTCTCTCTCTCTGTCTGTCTCTCTCTTTGTTAAGCCTATGAAATTATTCTGCATTAGTACGCAGAAATATCATTGAAGGCCAACATGAAAATTTAGTTTGTATTCCCACTTGGCGATGCTTACAAAATTGTTTTTAAAAATTGAGCCTCCTGCGCTTGAATCTTTTTTATAAACCAATTCTCCATAAATGTTCTGGACTTTTCTTTCTAAATCCTCTTTCTTTATGAAGAGATTGTACACATGATCTGTAAATCAAACATTGGGTTTTTTACAAATGCTCTCAGATACTGAGTAAAGTCAAATGCACTAAAGCACATTTTTAGGTAGAACCTTGAAAGATGAGTGTGGTTTTATTACTCTTTAGAGAAAGGCTGCCTTCCACCAACATGCAGAGTTTACCTGGGCTCGGTCAGTCTTCCCTTTATTCCCCTGTAAGCAGCAGGTCCAGATGCAGGTTCAGTCCAGAGAAGTCAGGCCCCTCCTGGGATTGCTTTTGTGCACAGCCACAAGAACTGAGACCTAAGCAATCCTGTTTGCAGTGTCCTTAGCAGATTGTAACAGACACGTCCCCCATTTCATCCTCGAATTCCTCCAGAGTTTGGAACAGACATGCTCATTTGAGATCAGATCAGGATCTTTCAGGCTTTGGTTTATGTTTGACCTCAGACTTTGCTCTTTGCTTCAGAAGAT